GAGTCCATGTTAAAAAACTAAAATATGTAGAAATTTTCACCATGACATATAAAATTAATTGAAATATTTTTTTTAACGCTTTATTTTATTGAAATTGATTTAGAATATATTACATCATTGAAGAAATTCAACATATGCGATACAAAGAGAAACTAATGATCCTTTCCGCACCAGAAATCAAGTGAGGACAATAATCATTGACGACATATTAGCGATACCAAGATGATCTTGTTTCGAATCGAAGGTAGACGAGTAGGTGTTCCCGAATCCACAATAGCAGTCGGACATCCAATATCTATTACGATAATATGACAACAATTCTCTTACTTTAGATAAATCTCCTTCTTTAATTGCCTTTGTCAATTTTGTTCCGAGTTTGCTTAAGTGAAGCTGCCGTTGAACAACTTTGAACTGCAAGTCTTAAATCAAATAGATAGCCAAGATTGACTAGATACTAACAAACTATAGATCTTCTACGAGGAAAAAGAAACCTCAACCAAAAACTTCACCCATAAAACTAAACCCAATGAGGGAATCACAAACTAACCCCAATGAAGGGAATCACAAACTATATCTAAAAAAGTCAGACGGTGAATAACATCGTATCGTCTTCCAATAAAAAAAATCTCATGGAAATCCCTTAGACTCCATATCGAACATAAAGTTATAACCATCTCCCTCTCACGAAGCCGGTAAAAGCACCGGACATCGGAGAGGGAGAAAACTCAAATCACCCTTTTCTCTCTTTTTCTCTCTGGCGGCTAGTAAATTAATTGAAATGTTATGATTGGTTAATTTAATTGATGTGTCCCTTAAAATTTTCATTGAATGACATATAAAATTTTTAACTTAGTGTCTCCCCAATTAATATATAGATGATTATCTCAGCTATGTCTTCACCCAACAACAAAATGTACTATCTTTTTTTTTTAAATCAACAATCACCATTATATTAAATCAAGTTGTTAGCGATTGGATGGTTTCTTGACGGGTCACCCCAAAGGGGGTGT